TACTCAATCAAACATGATAAAATTCTTTGTAAAATTAGAAGATTTAAAATAAAAAAAATTTGATTAAAGTTTTAAAATTTGAGTATAGAAGATGTGACTTTATTAAAATTTAAATATTTTTTGTTTACCTGATCAAGTTCGATAAAAAATTTTCTTTCAGTGGTTATCGAAAAATTTTTGTTTTAAGTTTAAAAGATATGACTATACATTTATGAGAGGTAATATTATACTATTATGATTCTAATAAAGCACAGCATATTATTGATTATTCTGGTATAAGTCTTCATTTTTAAATTTACTAAAAAATAATGATATTCTTTATTTAAACAAATAATATATATTCCTATAACTATATATTATATTTGCAAAATATCAAGATAATTTTTTTAAGTAATTTGTCCAGGTTTTGCTAGCAAGTAATAATCTAAGAAATGATCAGCAAAAAATTCATTCGTAAGTCTGAATTAAGATATCTGACTTAAGACATCTGAATTCAAAAAAAATTTGAATTAAGATATCTGAATTAAGATATCTGAGTTAAAATATTAAGTGAGAATCTAAATATCTAAATTAATTTAAAATATATAAATACAACTTTATACTCTGAATAAAGCCTTAATGGAAATTGACACTGACACTGAATCTATTTAATTGGACACTACACAAATTGCTAAATTAGTAGAAATAAACAACTTTCTACAAAAAGAAAACAACGAACTCAAACTATTAATTCAGTTGTTTGAAGTAATTATCACAGAATTATTAAGCTCAGAAACCACCAAAGATCAAAGAATTGAATTAAGAAATAGTTTCATTAACTTTTGACAGGAAATTTAAAAACAAGACTGGTAATAATAGATGTCGCAGCTAATGCTGAAATTTAGATGTCATAGCTCCTACTAAAATCAAAGTACTTTTTTATAGTAAATTCTAATGCTAACCCTAAATCTAGCTCATCTCTAAAAAAAACCAAAGTTATATTAAGATAGTCCAAATTTCAGCATCATTTATAACAATATTAAATCAGCAAAGCCTATTTCTACACTGTCTGAAGCACAAATAAATAAATTAATATTTTTCATATTTGTGTAGATCATGATGACAAAAATGGAAGACACCTTTGAAACTGTATCATGTATCAAATCAGAACTAATCAAAATTATTGAAGCAGCAGTTAATATTACTGACATGATATCACCCATTTTCCCAATTGCTGCTTTAATAAATAACATATTTACTATTCATGAAAGCGTCCAATTAAATGAGGAAATTTCTAAGTTTACAATAGACCAAATTGTATCTGCTAAAGTAGCAATAAAATTCTTGAAAGTATAAAAAATAAAACACAGAAAGAAATTTCAAGATTTGCAGTATCAAGAATTGTTTTATAAATTTCAAAAGTTGTTAACTAAAATTAAAGTTTATGCAGAAAAGTTGCCACAATTAGAAGATATTAAGGCAATTCTAAATGCTAATAGCATAAGAAAGAAATTTATTAGATTAATGAAAGAGTATGGTGCCTGTATGAGAGATCTGAAATTTGCAATGATTGTTGATGACAATATCTTAAGAGATGATCTTGTTAATGCAGTTAAGGTATTTATGTCATCTTTAAGCTGACTCTATCTATTTTCATGTGATCTTATAAAATTACTAATCAATTAAGTTAAAATATTTAAACAATAGTCAATGAAGGAAACTCTCATAGAAAATAAGCAACATATAAAAATGTTCATCAAGAAGTATGTTACATTAAAAAGCAGCTTGTTGAAATTACAAACTTCATTCAAGCTCAACAACTCAATTTTCAAAAATCACAGACCTATAATAGGCGGGATTAATTAACAATTTTTAAAATTTATATATAATCTTTAAAGTTATTAATATCAATTTGCAATGTTATTGTAGTAATACTGAAATATTGTATTAGTTGTGACTTTAAGAAGCCAAAGTTCTAATGCCACCAGTTGGTTAAATTTTGATGTTTAAAAGATTTTAGCCATTATTTTTTAACATTTTATTTTATTTTTTTATTATATGTTAATATGAAGTAAAGATGGAATAATGAATATACAATAAACTTAGTAGTTGTAAAGCAGAAAATATTATTTAGTTATTTAGGGCTGAAATTGCTATCCGCCAAGATATAACAAAATGTGACTGATTCTTAAAGAAATTGAAAAACTAGGTTAGGTGGCAATGATCTCAATTTTGGTGTCCTCTATATCACGTTTATCAATTTATCAAATTTATTCAAATAGAGTTTTGATATTGAAAATTCATATTGAATTACAATAAATTATATTTTAAAAATATAATATATTATAAATTATTATTAATTTAAAGACAATGAAAATAACTTTCTTTAAAAATTAGGAATTTTGCATTAAGTTTTGACAAAACTTTCAAAGGTTATTATTTTAAATAAAATCAAATTAAATAAATGTAAATGTGACAATAATAACAATATAAAAAATTTTTTAATTTTAAGCTCAGTTCATACTCTACAGCCTCTAGGGCCATTAAAAAATAGAGGATATAATATAAAATTATATTAAACCAGTTTATATTTCACAACCCTAGAGCTGTAGATAGTGGTATATTAATTTAAAAAATTACAGTCACATTAGTTTACCGATCACATAACTAATATTAAAATTTTCGTTCTAGTAATTATTAATCTTAGCTGATGCTGATGCTGAAGTTTGAAATTTCTATTTGAAATGTTTAAACGAAATTTTAAATTCTTATTGATTGTCGTTAGAGCAAATTTTTTGTTTGTATAATAGTTTTATATCAAAATTTCACGTTTCTAGAACCCAAGAGGTTGTTTTATACTTAATTTTGGCTAAAAATATATTTTGATTTTATTTAGAATTATACTTGAAACTAAAATTTAATTTTTCCTAGATTTATGCATAATTTTGCCTGGAATTATGCTTAATTTTCCTATAATTTTGCTTGAAATTATATTTTAATTTCACCTAATATTATCAGAACTCTAGTTATTATTTTTTTTATCAAAAAGCTTCAAATATTGAAATAATGTTAATGAACTTTAATTGTACTATTGTGAAAATGCAATATTTGTAAATTAAATAAAAGCTCTTTTATATTTAATTACGAATAGAAAATTGGTATTTAATTTAATAACAAGTTTTACTTTCTTAAAAAGTCTTGTTTTTGAATTTCTATATATTCAAAAATGCGATATGTATTGCATTATTAATAAAAATCTTATGTGTTTAATTTTAAAACTTTAATGATTTAAAGATGTTTTCACTTTATTCGTGAAAATCATACAATAAATAATCACATGAATTTACTGACCCATGGGTCCATGAGATTATTAGTAGAGATAAGACAATTAAATTAGTTTTGTCTTGTTCTCTGACAGCAACTAAGGCTGTCAGAAAAGAAAATTTACTCCTCAAGAAAAAATATAATTCTGGTATAACTCCAGGCAAAATCAAATTATAAATTCAAGCAAAATTAAATATATTTCCAGGCAAAATTAGACATAACTCTAGGCAAAAAAAGTATAATTCTGGTCACATATTGGGTTGTGTTATATAAATTAAAATTATTTCTGGGAGCAAAATTAGGTATAATTTCAGTCAAAATTAGGCATAATTCTAGATAAATTCATTGCAAATTCTGGGCAAAATTAGGTATAACTTCAGACAAAATTAAAATATAATTTCACGCAAATTTGGTATAATTTTGGGAAAAATTAGGCATAATTCTAGGCAAATTCATTAGCATATCTTCAGGCAAAATCAAAATATTAAAAATTTTTGCTGCACCATAAACCTGGCACACATTTAAGTAGTATCATAGATCTAGCAAATGTAAAAAAATGACTATGAAATTTTGACCCAATTATAAACTTAGTTTATTGTAAAATAGTTTTGTTACAATTTTTTTTAGTTATATAGTAAAATAATCTTAGAGAAGCTAATTTAAAATATAAATAAGTTATAAACAAATAAATTCTTAATTTAATTAGCTTACAACATAGTTTTTGTATTTAATTAATACCAATTAGCCAAATTATAATGCATTGATAAAAATCCTAAAGTAGATATATCGGATAAACTGGATGGTTCTAAAGATAAGTAATTGGTGATATCACAATTAGAATTATATCTGTAATTAACTTTAGAAGATTTATTCTTTTTTACAATATCTTGAAAATATTTTGTTAAATCTGAAAAACTAGGTTATTTAATCTTTTCAAATTCTGTCTGAGCTTTTTTAGTATCTTTTGCCAACTTTGATAATAACAGAAAAAGTGAATTAGATTTTTTTTGTTTCTGATAATTAAAATATAATTCATTTGCTCTAATATTATTGAGTAAAAATGAATAATTTTTTGATGTTTTTTTATATAAATCTTTATAATATGATTTGGTATCAATTTTGTAAGTTTCACTAATCTTATCAATAATTTTAGAATATTGATATATTTCATGTATTAAACTGTTCTTGCTTAAATTTTTTAAAGTAATATACTTATTAAAATCTTGATCCATATTATTTAATGATGACTTAATATTATTTTACTAAAATTATAAATATTTTACTACATTTAAATTATTTTTTTCAATCTGGTGTCTTTTATAAACTATAAAATAATTAATATTTCAAGCATTATTTCAATTTTAATCAATTTAAGTAGCAATTTAAAGAAATAAGAGCAAAGTATGAATGTAATATTGAATTTAAACTGAGCAAATTTTTAATTATAAATAAAATAAGCAATTTTAATAGCTAGATTCTTGATGTTTGTATTAAATCAGAATTGCAAAATGAGCTAACAAATCAGAATTATGGTATTAAAATTGTAAAAGATCTCTTTTGGAATTATAATACAATTTGAATTAAATCAAATGCTTTAAAACTAAATTAAGCTTAAATCCAACTTTTGTATCAAAAAAGATGGGTGGAAAGCACATGAAAAAATTTATGAATTATTATTGAATATCTAAATCAAATACTTTTTTCATGTGACAAAAGGAATATGCTAAACAATCTACTATTAATAATCTTTGTTTAAACAAATAATATATATTCTTATATATTTGCAAAATTTCAAGATTACTTGTTTGATGAAT